TCCAAGCAAATTGTCTCTTTTTATTGTATCAGTGTAAGCCTTGGAAGCATTGGCTTCAGCTACTACCTCTGGGGAGGCTCAGAGGATATCTTTGTTCTGCCCCAAACCAGCCCTTCAGACAGCAAGTTGCATGGGCTCATATCCATATCTTCATCACAGTTTTCTCACACTCCCTCCGAGGACCTCTGTCATGCTCCCTTTCTCTGCCTCGAACCCACCAACCTGCTTTCAAGTTTTGATGTGGCAGAAGCCATCTCTGAACATCTGTAAAGCAAACGATGCACTTCTCTTTTAGAGTACATTTCACAATACTTATGTGAAACTTCTTGTAAAGAATAGTTGTTTTCACATAAACAGTAAGAGATATTAAAATGCATGTTAATCCTAGCAGTGGGTAGAATTTTATTGTTTGGTGCTCACAGAAGCAATGAAAATTTCCATGTATGTTAGGTCACCCTAAGTGTGTATGTGTTGTGTGGCAAGAGCGGGAACACCCATCTGTTTGAGCTATGTCACCAAAAGCTGTATCAAGATTTTTCATTAGGCCGAGAGTGATTGCTCACGCCTGTAATCCCAGCACGTTGGGAGGCCAAGGCAGGAAGATCACTTGAGGTCAGGAGTTTGAGACCAGCCTGGCCAACAGGGTGAAACCCTGTCTGTACTACAAATACAAAAAATTAGCTGGGTGTGGTGGTGCACACCTGTAATCCCAGCTACTCAAAAGGCTGAGGCACAAGAATCGTTTGAACCTGGGAGGTGGAGGTTGAGTGAGCTGAGATCGCATCACTGCACTCCAGCCTGGGTGACAGAGTAAGACTGTCTCAGAAAAAAAAAAGATTTTAAATTAAAAGGAGCCCTCCAAAATACACAGATGATAATTTCTTTCCTATTTTTTTCTCTTAACTTTTACACACACACACACACAAATGTCATGGGACAAATTTAGGCTCAGAAATAACCTCAAGCAGTAAACTTCATTCGGCCAAAATTACATTTATTAAAAATAAAATAAAGCTTCTTATACTATTTGCAAAACACAAACCATGGCATTCGATAATCTTGAGAGTTGTCATCAGAACCAAGAACGCTGTATTACTGCCTGTGTCCTTCCACACTGCGAACAAAACAACCGTGACAACCATACTGCATTCGCACAACACTGTAAGTAACAATCGACATTGCGTCCGTTTACAACAGCTTGTTCAACTTGTATTCTCTGTCAAAAGCAAACAAAACTCATCTTCTTTCACATTTTCCCAGCAGGAATCTTGATTTAACCTGAACTGTTTCTAAGTCTGACTTCGACTCTGGCCAGCTGGTCCCAGATGAGATAGGATCAAGCGTTCTTAAGGAGTTCCTTCCTGTCCAGAACAACTACCAAAGGGTGATCCATCTCCTCCTTCACATTTTCTCTCTCTATTACTACTCTCCTCTATCCAGAAGCGAGAAATCTAGAACAAAGCTAAGGGCTGCTCTCTCTGCAGCTCCTTCCCTGACCTTCGTGTTCCAGGAAGAGTTATATTTGAACGGGATAGGGGGACACGATATAGAAAAACATTGGACAAGGCTGCCATTTTTCCTAGAGACAGTGTGAATATCAACATCGACTGGGTAATTTAAACTTTCCAAAGAATACTGACCTTCTTAGAAGTAAGCAGCACTTTTAAAAAGTGAGCTTCATTATTCCATTAGAAGTCTAAGCTCTAACCAGTTAAGCAGCACATTTTAGCAGCTAACTGCTTGCACTCAGCTGGTCTTCTGCAAGAGGACAGTTTCACACAGGACAGCAGCAGGCTTTGCAGCAGTACAGCCCATCTCTGTTCCCACAGAGGAGAAGGATAGTGGTACATCCGAAATACACTCACACATCACCGAGGCTCTGAGGCTTCGGTGTCCGCCATTTCCAAGGTCCAAGCTTTTTGACCCAAAGCAAGAGTAGGTGGCAGGGATGGGGGAATGGGCAGGAGACACTACGTTTCTACACAAGGAAAAGGAAATCTAATGCACACACCTCTGCAGAGTGAAAGGAATCGCCAACACACACACACAAGCCCCTCTAGGCAAAGACAAGAGCGGTTGTTATGGTGGACACGAGTTGCTCCCCAAGCATGTCCTCAATGTGGGAAGCCGAAGCAGCTGCCTCCCCTTAAGACAGTCCCCGGGGCCCGTGCCAGCGGCCACAGTAACTGGCTGGCCCTTGCCAGCTGTCACGCTTTGCATGCCGCTGCTTGAGCCCAGCACAAGGGACCGTCCAAGTCACCAGCTCCAACCAGCCCCAAATCCCGTGCCCAGGCTAGAGCCGGACGGCCACCCAGAACCCTCTTCTGGGTCCCTCTACCAAGAGACTGAAACACACAGCATGTCCAGTTGATAGCATCCTTGGCTGAGGGAGAGAGAAGTTTTCCAAGAAGGAGGAGATGAGGTGAAACTTAGGTCTAAAGAAAACCCTCAGGGACACCCACAGGAAAGAGGGGTGCTTCTGGGGGCAAAAGCCGCATGTGTGTCTCCATCTCTTTGATTCCTGGGTGCCCCTTCCTGTGGGTGGGAAATGGGGAGGGTACAAGTTAGGCAACTCTGGTCAAGCCTATAGATTTTGTCTCCCCATTCACTTCCTCTTCCTGATGGCAGGGTAAGGCCCTAGGGGCCCCACCTAGGCTGTGGGCAGAGGAGGAAGCTGGAGGGGGAGGTCACTAGGGCCTGCCCCAATCTGGCACCTCAGCTACAGGACAGAAAGTCCTGACAGTGAGAATGGAAACTGCCAAAGAGGCTAGAGCAGGGTTTATGGTGGCAGGATTCTGGGGACATTCTCTTGGGGAACATGGCTGGAACCTACCAACTCATCAATATTGGCATAGTCTAGGCTGGCCCCTCCATCCCTACACCCAGTCCCCAACCTGCCCCATCACACCCCTCTCTTGGGCTTCCTGAAAGTCTGGTTCTGCTGAAGGGAATTCAGGAAGCCAGTCCTTGATGGGGCAGCTCTGCCTGACCTGTCTGAAGGCACAGCAGTCTACGGCCTTCCGGGAGCCTGTTTTATCATGAGCAGCAGGGGATCAAAAAGGCCCAGCTCACAGGGGTCCCATGAGAACCAGGTGTAAAAGTGTCTGTAAAAATGATTTGAAAGCAAGCTGTTTTAACAGAAGGCAAAATGACTAGTGAGGTGTTATACTTAATTGCTTGAAACTTTCAAGGCTATTCTCTTGGTCTGTCTTTCATTCCTGCTTAGTATGGTTCTGCTTAAGAACCAGTCTCCTTCCTGCCAAGGCTTCCCTCTCTCTCTTAAAGTGGGGCCCCCAGCACCATGTCAGGCCAGACTCCTCTGAGAGGTAGGGGATCCTGCTGGGTTCCTTCCCTCTCTATAAAACCGTCAGGAAAATGCTTGGGTTAGAGCATTGTCAGGAGTTTGTGCATTTAAGGATGAGCCTCTGAGCTAACGGAGATTTCAGGCCATCCTTAGAGATGTCCAGGACATACAGTAGGCGTCAAGCGCTGTGCTAGGCTTTGGGAGGATACAGAAATGAAGGGGTGGTCCCTAGCCTAAAACAATCAGAGTCGAATGCAGAGATGGCATCCACAGAACACAGTCTAGGCTATGAAGAAATGTTATCAATTGTTTGCCAAGAGTCAAGAGAGGAGGAAGAGGAGAAACCACCAAGGCTTCCAGAAGAAAGCAAAGTTAGAGCTGAACCTGAGGCCTCGGCAGGATGCTACAGGCAGAGCTAGGGGTCAGAAACAGAGATCAGAGTGAACGCATGTGGCAAATATTGGTGGAAGAAAACCAGAACAAAGCAGCCCTGAAACCAGCAAGCACAGCCACGGGCTCCTAGAGCAGAGATCAGCTCCGCTGGTAGAAATGGACAGGCCCTTCAATTGCATCTCTCTTTTCACACCAAAGAGCCCCAGGGTGAAGGAGGCTCATTTTCCTTCTGTCACACTGTAGCTCAGCACTGTCCTGTAGGATTTTCTGTGATGACGGACATGTTCTGTATCTGTGCTGTTCAGTGGACAGCCACTAGCACCTGTGAGGACTACGAACTTGAAGTAATGTTAGTGCAACTGGAGAATTCAATTTTAACTTAATTTTATTTTCATTCATTTGCATAAATAGGCATATTGGATGGTAGAGGTTTAGATGCCAGAAGGCCCTCTTCCCCAGTACATTGACAAGTTGTAGTAGTAGGCATTGGTGCTGGGGACAGAAAATGTCCATAGCCACCAAGTAATGCTATTTTATTTCCAAAGAAAATGATTCATTCCCACCCTCAATCAATAGGACTATGTAGGTGTTTTGTTTTGTTTCTAATAAGAGGCCAATTTCTGACTGACTTTTGCTTAAGCAAGAGTCAAGTTGCTGATAGATCACCCCCTTTGGGGAGGAGACAAACCCAACCCAAAGGCTCCTTTGTCCCTAAAGACCTTTCAATCAGAGGGATGGGGAAGGATGTTGGGAGTGGCAGGAAGGAACCATCTTAATGCTACTTGTCATTTAGTCCAGAAATGTAGTGATCTGAACCTGCAGGAAATCATATATTTTAAGGAAAGAAAAGCAGCATAATTCACAACAGCCAAAAGCACGCCAAATGGTCATCCACAAATGAATGGATAAACAAAATGTGGTATATCCATATACTGGAATATTATTCAGTCTTGACAAGGAAGAAATTTCTGATACATGCTACAACATGAATAAACCTTGAAGACAATAGGCTAAATGAAAGAAGTCAGTCACTAAAAGACAAGTGCTGTATGATTCTACTTACATGAGGGACCTAGAGTAGAACAAATTCCTGGAGACAGAACAGAAGGGTGAATTCCAGGAGCTGAGGGAGGGGAAGTGGGGAGTTGTTTCCTGGGTGGAGTTTCAGGGCTGCAAGTTGAAAAGGGTTCTGGAGATTGGTTGCACAATAATGTGAACTTAATTTAAATCAATATAATGTGCACACAAACGTATATAACATTACTGAACAGTAGTCTAAAAATAAGATGGTAAATTTTATGTTAAGAATATTAGATCACAGTTTAAAAAAAAAAAAGTATGGGGAAGGTTGTTTTTAAGTAGACAGTTGCTGGAGGAAGGCACGTGAGTTGCAGCCTGGCCAGTGCGACCAGTCCTCCTGGAACAGCCACGCTGCTGGAAAACGCGCCCTTACTCCGCCCGCCTCCGGGCCCTGTCCCGCGCCGCTGGCACAGGCGCTCACAATAACCTCCTAGAGTGGTGCCAGCTGCACCTCCGCGCGGCCCCGGCGCCAGCAGCCAATGAACACGCGGCTGCGCCCGGCCTCACGCCTCCATTGGCTGCGCCCCATCGCCCGCGGCCCCGCAAGTTCCCAAGCTGGGTTTAAAGGGGTCCGGCGCGGGCCAGGGCCCCACCATCGGCTCCCCGCGCGCAGGTCCGCGGGGAGGGGCGGCTTGCAGACCTGCCCACCCCGGGGCGTTCCTGAAGGGCGTCCTCGGCCGCCCCCACCGCCTCCCAGATGTACTATGCGGTTTCCCAGGCGCGCGTGAACGCGGCCCCCGGGACCATGCTGCGGCCACAGCGGCCCGGAGACGTGCAGCTCGGGGCCTCCCTCTACGAGCTGGTGGGCTACAGGCAGCCACCCTCGTCCTCCTCCTCCTCCTCTTCCTCCTCCTCCACGACGGCCCCCCTCCTCCCCAAGGCTGCGCGCGAGAAGCCGGAGGCGCCGGCCGAGCCTTCAGGCACCGGGCCCGGGTCCGGCGCGCACGCGGGCGGCAGCTCCCGGCCGGACGCCAAGGAGGAACAGCAGCAGCAGCTGCGGCGCAAGATCAACAGCCGCGAGCGGAAGCGCATGCAGGACCTGAACCTGGCCATGGACGCGCTGCGCGAGGTCATCTTGCCCTACTCCGCGGCACACTGCCAGGGCGCGCCCGGCCGCAAGCTCTCCAAGATCGCCACGCTGCTGCTCGCCCGCAACTACATCCTGCTGCTGGGCAGCTCGCTGCAGGAGCTGCGCCGAGCCCTGGGCGAGGGCGCCGGGCCCGCCGCGCCGCGCCTGCTGCTGGCCGGGCTGCCCCTGCTCGCCGCCGCACCCGGCTCCGTGCTGCTGGCGCCCGGCGCTGTAGGACCCCCCGACGCGCTGCGCCCCGCCAAGTACCTGTCGCTGGCGCTGGACGAGCCGCCGTGCGGCCAGTTCGCGCTCCCCGGCGGCGGCGCAGGCGGCCCCGGCCTCTGCACCTGCGCCGTCTGCAAGTTTCCGCACCTGGTTCCGGCCAGCCTGGGCTTGGCCGCCGTGCAGGCGCAGTTCTCCAAGTGAGGGCCTGCCCGGGCCTGGGGCGCGACCTCGGCCCGGCCTCCCGCCGCTCAGCTTCTCCGCGCCCCTGCGCCCTGCGTCGGGGAGAGCGAGGCCGAGCAAGGAGAGCATTTCGAACCTTCTAGTCCAGAGGAAGGGACTGTCAGGCACCCACTTCCCCGCCCCCACCCCTGGGAAGCTAAAGCGACCGGAGCGGATGTTCGTTGGCGGGTCTGGGCTGTTTGGGGTTCTGGGTCGGTTCCAGCGGCTTTGGGCAGAAAGCGCTCACTCTCACCCAGCACAGCTCTCTCCGAGTGCCTGGAGTTTCGCGCTTCGCGGGGCCGATGTAGAATTTAGGGCACCGTGCCGTGGTTGGAGCGGCCCGGGTGCGGCGAGAGGCCACCCCTGAGCGCGACCTCCCAGAGCGGAGCACCCTGGCTCCCAGGCGGAAGGGCTGCGCTCTAGCAGCGGCGGGGGCGGAGGGGTGGTTCTTTTCCTTCTCCCCAGCCCGAGGCCACGGGCGCCCTAGTTCTCACCGGCCAGGTCCTATCAAAAGAGACCGCCGCACCTCAAGAGGCAGAGAAAGACCAGTTAGGCGACGCAGACGGTCTGGGACGTGGCAGACGGACAAACCCTCGGCGGCGGGTGGGGGCGAGGACAACGCAGGGTGCCCTGGGTTGGGACCTGGGTCCGCCTTTGTAAACCAGCTGTTTGGAGAGCTGTATCTGAGACTCGCGCAACAGGTATTTTGTAGCGGAGAGCATTCCCTCTTAAATCCTGGGGGCTTCTTGGAAAGGCAACTTAGAACTCACCTTTCGTCTCCCTCTCCCCAAAAGTAGCGTAACCAACATTTGAGCTTGCTTAAAAACGAAAACCAAACCGCCTTGCACGCAGTGTTCCTGAATTACTAAAATAGGTAACCAGGCGTTTCACAGTCGCTGTCCTGTCAAGACCGCTAATTAACGTTCTCATTAAAAGACGCGCAGGAGGACCGGGAACCCCCAACCGCCCGCGGCGCGGCTGATCCCAGCTGCGGTGGCGACCGCGGGAAGGCGCTTTCCGCGGTTCCTTAGCGGGCCGGGCCCTTGACCAGCGCACCCCGCAGGCCTTCCTTCTGGCCGTCTTGCAGTTGAAGAGCTACATACGTGGTCGGTTTCGATTTGTTACAGACGTTAACAAATTCCTTTACCCAAAGTTATGCTATGACCTTTCCACAGTTTGCTTTGATTTTCTATGTTTAAGGTTTTGGTTGTTGGTAGTGGCTGAATTTAACTGGCACTTTATTTTACTTCTAACCTTGTTTCCTGGCGCTGTACAGAATCAACAAAATAAAACATTTAAAGCCTGATGTTTTACATTTTTCGTCTGATTTGTTTGGTAATAAAAAAGTCCTTGTACCCTAGTGGATTTAGAACCTCGGGGTGAAGGTAGGTAGGTGAATGACCGGGATTCCACGTGGGAAAGGCAACTTAGAGCTCGAGATTCACCTTTCCTCTCCCTTTCCCCACAAGTAGCATAACCAACATTTGAGCTTGTTTAAAAACAAAACTTAAACGTGACTTCCTGATTTGTAAAATAATCCAACGAACAGGCAACTGTAGTTCAAGTTCAGGCATCCCTGGGAAATGTGAGGTTTGTAGGTGGGTGGGTAGGTGAGATGGAGAATGGGATAGTGAAGGGAGAGAGGCAATTCCAGGAATTCATTCTTTGCCAAGCTTTAGGCACTAAAGCTTGAAAAGTCTCTTTCAACTACAACTTCACCCCCTGGAAAATGGGTTAAGCAATACCTTTACCATAAAATTATAGCTCAACCTCTTTCCGAGAAATGCACATTTTCTGTATCCGTGGACGGAGGCTTAATACCACACAGGTATGAGCTTCCTCCTGCTGCAGTCCCCTACCCCCTACCATTTAAATCGGGTTGGAATTGTCTCCTGCAATGATGACATTGAATGCCACTCAATTCTCCTAAGAGGTGAAGAAAGCTTTTTTGTCTGTTTGGTGCCCTTAAGAAGAATTTGGAAGGCAGACCTGCTCACATGCAATATTAAAACACTGCATCATTATTAATGAAATCCAACAACTGTTTAATGTAGGGGAGTAGTAGAGAACTAGTGTCCCCTTTAACTTGAGGAAAATAATGAAAGCAAACCCAGAGATGATTTACTCAGTTTTATCCATGTTGGCTTATCTGAGGCAAATATATGTTTAGAGAAAATGAGTACTCACTTTGGAGGTGGGGGAAGGAGGTGGCAGAGGCTGGAGGGATGGCATTGCCAGGCTACCAGGCTATGTCTATTTCCTTAAGGAGAAGTCAGGAGATGGCATGGCAGAAGGTGCTCTATGCACCAACTCATTCCAAAAGAGGATTTCTCAGGCTTCCTAGACTCTGCTGCTAGCAAAGTCACCAGCTTTTATAAAAGTGGCTTTGAATCATGACCTTCTATTTATTCGGTGCCTGTCTTTGTTTACTTTATATCTTGGCAAGGGTCAGGGGGGAAAAGTGAAAGTCAATGAAATCAAAAGCAAACCAGGTTCTCCTTGAAACAAAAATACTTGTAAGAGACTAGAAATAAATGATTTCTCCCACAGTCTCAATGCCATCACCTAGATGCCACTCTCATTCCAAACACCGTCTTTAAAAGGAGCACGAAGCTACAGGGCAGAAAATGGGTCTGCCTGTCTTTACTTGTAAATGGGAAGAAGCCACCCATGCCTTATAAGAAAGATAACACTATACGTGTGTGATTTTTTTTTTTATTTAACTGAGAAAATTACAGCCTATCATGCTTTTCAGAAGGGCCAAAGGCTATAAATAAATTTAAGCTGTTTCAGGTGCCATCAAAATACTTATCTGCCTGCATGTAGTGTGTTTTTGGCCATTGTGCCAAGCAAGATTCACAGACTTGCTCCATATAAGGAGTTTATATTCTAAAAAATAGTACCAGCAGGCACTGAAGAGTCCTGCAGGAGGAAACGGATAAAAGGTCATTAAATACAGTGTCCACAATGCAAAGTCAGACCGTTCAACCTCTGTCTATAGCAGGGCAGTGCATTCTGCATGCACAGGGTTGAAGCTTAGACATGTGTGTTCTAGAGCATGGAGCTGCTTTTAGAAATCTTCAGGGCTATGTCACACCAGCAAAGGAGCTCGCTAAACTGCCCACCTGACTTGGCTTTAGCTGGCGTGGGCTTTGTGCAGAAGGAAACAAGTGTAAACTGGTCTTTGAAGGGGTTGGGACAGTTGGGAGGGTCTTGGTAAAGTTCCTGGAGAAAGACACTCTAAGACCTCAGAAGCAAAATGAGAAGGAACCCTTGGCTCACTGCCAAAAAAGTTCCCTGCATCCAGCCAGCCACTGAAGTGAGGTCCCAGCAATTGGAGTAAACAGAACCTAATGGGAAAATACACAAGGTCCTGAGAAATTACGTTGTTATATCTATTGGAGTCCAGGTGAGCAATCGGTAAACAGAGAGCAGATTAAATACACGATGGGGATTTGCCTGGCCCTCAGTGATGGTCTATTTACAGGTTTTCTCTAAGGGAAACTGATGAAACCCGGCATAAAAATGTAACCTTGTGAAATATACAGCTTAGAGGGTAGGTGGCTCCTTCAAGGAAGAGGCTCCTTTCCAATCATGGACAATATTTCCATTTACTAAAGTTCAGATGATGAACAACAGCTTCCATGCTGCCCTCTCCTTTAAGGTGTTTGGTCTTTGCTGAATGCCCAGGTGTGCGGGTGAGGCTGGGTACAAGACAGCCTCAGCCTGCTAGCTAGACCCCCCTCGGGCCTCCTGTGGCATTGAGGAATCCAGCCAGAAAAAAGGTGTAGCGGGGTGGGGGCTTTTCCTTCTGCTATGGAAGGGTACCTGATGAACTAGCCAAGTGCAAGGTGATGGCTGGGAAGAGTCTTTCAGTTGATGGTTTTGCTCCCTGGGCATACAGCGCATTGACTGGGGAAGTATATTTCCCTCAGAAGGTATTTTCCTGCCTCCTCACTTCCCCACCCCTCTTCTGCACACACAATAAATATTCAGTAAGAAGATTACCACATTCACTGAAGTAGGTTCACCAAGCAATGGGGTGAAAAATGCCATGTTTTTCAAAAACATGAATTCACTTTTATCCAGCAGAGATTAGTTGTGGGGAAAGGCATTAGAAATACTGTTTCCAGGTAAGATCCGGTTAAGGTGCTAAACTAGGGTACCAAGATAGTCCTCAAAACCCACACACAAACTAGTCTCGTTATTTATGAAGACATCAGAAAATCACTCTCAAAGCAGTTCCCATTCTGTCATTTTTTTTTTTTTTTTTTTTTGTGAGACGGAGTTTCGCTCATGTTACCCAGGCTGGAGTGCAATGGCGCGATCTCGGCTCACCACAACCTCCGCCTCCTGGGTTCAGGCAATTCTCCTGCCTCAGCCTCCTGAGTAGCTGGGATTACAGACACGCGCCACCATGCCCAGCTAATTTTTTGTAGTTTTAGTAGAGACGGGGTTTCACCATGTTGACCAGGATGGTCTCGATCTCTTGACCTTGTGATCCACCCGCCTCGGCCTCCCAAAGTGCTGGGATTACAGGCTTGAGCCACCGCGCCCGGCCCCCTATTCTGTCATTTTTAACTAAGCCCAGCAAAAAAGCTGGAATGCCTGGAAAGAAATCAAGCCGCATTCTTTCTGCTCACACGGGATTAGGAGCTCTCTGCAAACCTTCCCCCTTCCCTCCTGCCGCTGTTGACAGGCCAGGCAAGCTCTGAGCTCAGGACAAGCAGCTGAATATTCCAAGTCCTTAAACACTACAGGCTGCACAACACTTGCTGGGGTGAGAGGGGCAGGGGAATGCCTCGACTGAAAGCAAAAAGAACGTGTTTCACATCCACGCTCAGCCTTCCATGGTGACCAGAGAGGACAGAGCACACAGGTAGGCCACGACCTGGGACAAAGACCGCAGGTCCCAAATTGTATCTTAGTATCACGAATGCTGTCAGGCAAGGGCACTTGCAAATTATCCACTCTGTCTTCTTTCTACTGCATAAGGCCCAGGAGGGTCAGAAGCCACAATCAAAGCCATACAAGGTGGCTGGAGGTAGCAATGCCAGGGACTAGTGCCTGCTTTGGGGAAGCACAGGCTGCTTCCTTGGTCTGTCCTGGGGAGACAGGGAATGGGAATCATGACAGGTCTCCACCCAGAGCTGAGCATGTTCTTCTGTCCCCTGGAAAATCTCAGTGCTCTGGTCTCTTCCAGCCTCTCGGCTCAGCCTGTGGTCTGCCCTGCCGGTGGCATCCAGGACAGATAGATAGGCTCAGGGCCAATCCCTTACTGGCTGACCAGGCTGCCATTGAGTCACCTGAACTTTCTAGGCAGCCTCGTCCCCTGGCCCCAAGAGAGGCCCAGATTGGTAACAGGGAGTGGCAGAGGCAAGGCAACCCCTGTGAGAGATCCTTTGATGATTACAGGTTTGTCATTAGGGTTTCAGAATGTGAGGACGCAGATGGCTGACAGACAAGGGCAGCAGGGCACGAGGGAAAACGGCTTCTGAGGACACAGCTCCAGAGACTTTCTCCTCCGTGGCTGCCTTGCAGTGTTTTCATGTGGATGCTGGACATTCTGACCCTGCTGGAACGTGTGTCCACATCATCGGCATCTTTTTGCTGAGTGTTTTTCATGGACACAAGTGATTCTCCAACAGGCCCCTCTGCAGTGGTGGCCTGGGGTAGAGGACAGGTACCCCTGACAGCAGGCTCTGCACCTTCAGCACCAGCCGAAGGTAACGGGGCCCAGGAAACAGGCTCCCAGCACTGGGATTCCATAAGGGCTGTTGCATCCCAGAAGCTTCTAAGGAATGTGGGTAACTCCTTAGAGATTGCCAAAGCCATACAACCACAAGAGCAGATGAGAAGACTCATCTGTGTGGTTAAAAAGGAAGGAAGGAAGGAAGAAAAAGGAAAGAAAGAAAGAAGGAAAAGAAAGGCCAACTCACCTGGGGGCAAGCAGGTGGGAAAGAGAAACTACTCACTGCAGAAACAGCAGAGCAGTACTACTAGAAATACATGGAGCTGGTGATGATAGGAGCTCATTGTATTGTTGGGCACCAAGCAGGGGTGTAAGCATTTTACATGCATGACTTCATTTTGTAGGCACAAGCATCATCCCCATTTTACAGACGAGAAAACAGAAACAGAGACAGAAGAAGCTGAGGCCAGTTCAGGGAAATCATAGCAGCCAGACACAGGAAGAAATTGGCTCTGTCTAGAAGAAAGGGAGCCCCCGAGGGTTGTCCTCTCTGTCATTGCTGTAATGTGAAAAGGCGTTATTTTCCTTCCTCCCCCTTTTGCTCTTGGGGCAAGGCTGGGG